TTGCATGTGGTATTCTGGTGGAAAGAAAGTGAATGGCATCCGTAAATCAGAAGGAAAAGGACTTCAACCAGCAAAACGTAGGTAATTTTGTTTTAATTGACAGTTTTCTATCTTTCGCTGCGGTTTGCGACGGTTTTCTAATCTTTAGTGACAAATTTATGGTCCCAATTAAGCAAAGGAAATTTAGCTACGGTTTTTTTCGTCGCAAAGCGCTGTTAAAAGGCATTCTACGACGGTTACCCAAAAACCGCCGCTAAAAGTTGCAAGCAGTGTTTAATTTCTCCTTCCTTCCGAAGGTCGTTGTTTGTGTAAATTTAAAATTTTATTTAGTTGCTGTTTTAAGAAAATTGTTGGACACAAATTCTGAGGTGTACAAATTGCTGTGATAAATGTTATCTATATTGTAGTAAATTACGGGGGAAGAAATAAAATAGTCGCCATCCATCCAAAAGTAATTCACTATAAATGCCCACATCATTTGGTTTCCTCTATCGCTTGCATGTAAACAGTAAATGCTCACTCACGGTAGTAAGATTTGCCTGCTAAAGAATACCACCATTAGAAATAAAATGAAAGTCAATGCATGCGCAAACGAAAATCAAATCAAATGCATCGTTGCACAACTAGGGAAAATAGCGGAAATGATGTTTAAACATTTTCAACTCAATTATTTGTGCACTATGATTTGGAAATAAGACATGACAAACTTAAAATAATGTCCTCCCCTTCTCTGCCAACGGCACTTTAATGTAACGTTCTTCCCGTTTCATAAACTTTCAGATGCCTAATATGGCCAGAACATGGTTAAGTATACGTTTTCCTAGCTGCAAACAGATAAATTTGATCCAATCTTGAAATAGAAAACTTCGAAGGATAATTAAGTAGGTAGCTTAAACATAAAGAACAATTCTACCACTTATTTTTAGTAGCTAATAAAGATCAGGATTCCACTTCCCAGTACACATTTAAGTTTATAACCCTACCTTTTTGTTTCTATCAGACCAGACACCAGACCAGACACAGATAAAGCTCACTAAGAAGGTAGCATATATACATACAAACGAAGTGTTTTAACTGAAATTCGAACTCAACAATAGGACTGAAGTTTGCACCAAACCCAATTATCGACTACATAATTGGAGGCTGGAGGCTGGAGGCTAGAGTATCAATCTTAGCCCCCACAAATTTTAAAATTAAGGTTTTAAATGGACCTACCATAAGATTTACCCTAGAGATTAGCCAACCCTTCTGCATGCTATTAAGGAAATTATAGGAGCTTTCATACAACTCTACCAACAAGTCACACACCACAAACCCTTGAACTGAGGGTTGAAACAGGATTGTTCAAAGAAGAAAAAAAGCTTGGCATCATCTGGTCAGATTAATCCCAAGTTCTGTTCTTCTTTGGCTGTTTATTCGAATGAATGTCTTTTTATGAAATAAATCTTAGTTACATACTTATCATTTCATTTACAGACTCATATCTGATACTCTTAATCAGATGCACAGCCACCAATATCAATACCCAACTCAATTCTTCAAAACATATTGAGTTAGAATCCTACATTCACTACCCCCAACAAAAAGTGGGAGTTGGGGGCTAGATAAGCCTGTGGATATGTATATAAATTTTCTTAATGCAATCAACTACAGGTTCTAATCCTACTTCAACTTCATTCTCTACATTCCTCTTCAACCAAATGCACCTGGTTCTTCTGTACCATCCTTACCTATTGAACCTATTCAAACTTCAGTTTCTTCACCACCCACCACATCTACAGATCAATTCTCATCCTAATCTTCTCTCTTTCACTTCATGATTCCAACTTTTGAATCTATTTCACAAAACCCTTAACCAAAATAACGATGATAACGAAAAAAGATGCAAACTTGGATTTTCTTACAAAGATCGACATGTGGAAAAAGAAAAAGAGAAGAGCTGCAAAACTATCAACCGATTAGATATCTATTGCAAAGTTCAGTGCTTACCCATCTTTACGAATTCGACGGTAGTGCAAGCAACGTCGTGGCCTTGGGAATTAGGTTTAGGGATTTTGCTTTTGTCGAATGGATTTGGGGATTCAAGTTCTGAAGAGGCAAAGAGGGCCGATCGACGATAGCCGTTTGTGATAAGATTGGGCCACAATGGCAGGCCTAATATTGTAATTTTTCTCTGTATTGAGAAATGAGCCCATTTTGGAGTTCTGA